AGGTGAACAATTCTTTATGGGATCCCAGGTAATCTTTCCTCTTTGTCTTAGAGAGGATATGTGCTTTTTCCATATACCTGGTTTAAATTTAGCCTCCATAGCTTGATCCCTCAATTGAGTAATAGGGCAACTTTCCTGCATTGTACTACTGCCTCTCCTTCTGGGGAAGTTGGCACTGGAATTTGGGAGTGTTTTGGTTTCCAGATTGTTCACAGACTTGTAATATGACCATAAATAAATAATGTAAGTACTTGTTGCTTCATTTTTATTTTTATTACCGCCTAGTCCATAAAACATGCCTAGTATTGAGAGACTGTGGAAATCTTTATGTGAGAATCTCAATGTGCTCAGGGAACAGATCTCTCTAGCAGTGTTTCTGCCTCAGACATGGCTATCTTGGGGATTGTATAACATAGAAAACAGAGTAATGCTGACTTAGGTGTAGTTTGCCTCCATTTTCTTGGACAGGAGACTGCGTTGGACCAGGGATTTCTGACTGTCTTCTAAAGCCCTGATGGTTTCCCTGTCCTTCCCTTTCCTCAAGAATTTGTGTACTGGCCTTCTCCATTCACACAGACTTTGTCATCAGCCCTGGCTTGCAGCATGTCACCCCACAGTGTAGCCACAGAAGTAGAAGCACTTTCTTTTGTTTTGGACGTGCTGCTTGGTTTCATTTTGTGCTTACCATCTCTTCTGGTGCAAGAGGCCAGGAGCTTAACACTTCCTGTTGGTTTTGTTTTTATAGTTCTGTCACTTTGCACCTCAGCTTCTGTCTCTAACAATTTTTTCTTGCATGAAATCCATTCCATATCTCCAATCATCCTACTTATCCCTGTCAGTACCTTCTCTGGATCTGCTCTATCCTTTTTCCTTTCTCTTGTTTTTTAATGAGAAGAGACAAGCAACACACAGTGTCCTGGTGTGAATGCCCCGTGCACACAGTGATCCGCCCTATTTCTGCAGGCTGATTCTATGGTTAAACAAACTGATTGTGGACATTCCAATAGCAGTGCAGCACATTGTACACACTCTCCAGCAGCTTAGAGTTAATTGCTGCTAGCAAGTGCTGTGAACTTGCAGGCTGGGTTCCTCTTGGCAGGAGTTGAAAGTGAATTGTGGTGTTCCAAAGAACGTTCAAGCCCCGTGTTTAAAAGGCATCCTGCCACTTAGATGGGTGAGTGTACTGCAGACACTGCCTTCAGCCCTCATCTTTCTGGCCTTCCTGCCAGAGAAGGGTTAAGTCTGAAATGGAAAACATGCTGCAGAGGACTGGTGTGATTCAGCACGTGGTTGTAGTCTGATTCTAAAGCTGAGTTCTCAGCATGGTATTTAGAGAACTGTGGCTCACTGGCTGCCTGCAGTCACTGTTTCAAGTTGAGATGCTGAATCCTCAGTGGATATCAAAGATCTCCGGCACTTGGGGCATTAACCATGGTACCATAGGATTAAGATTGTGGGTAACTGCAGCTGGGTTGCTTCCATGCTCTGTGTGCCTTTCAGTGGTGCAAAACACTTGGTTCTTCTCCAAAATGGTCTCTTCAATATCAAGCAAGCTTAACCCAAATTAGAATGGATTGCTTGTAAGTTGAGTTTGCCAGCATGGACAGTGAGCATGGATCACAGCAGTGTGGTGGGATCTCACAGCAGGGTGAAATTGCAGACCTAGGGGTGCTTTTCTCAGTGAAAGGTTATAGTATCAACATGGATCAGGTTATGGCCAAGTATTGATGCCATGTTAATATCAAGCAAATCATTATTAGTGTCCTTGCAGTTGATTTTTGTTCTATAGGACAAACAGGTGATTTTAGGGAAAACTCTTTGTTTCATAATATTTTTAAAGGGGGTGTGAGTGCATGCAAGCATCCCCGGCCAGCCCCTGGCTTTGGGTGGTGAGGAGAATTCCAGGAACTCCAGGAAACTGATGTCACTGCATTGTGTTTGCTTGTTTTCTTTTGACTGCACTAATGTTTAATTTTAACTTAACCCTCAGAGGGGTATTTTTAGTAAAACTGTTTCTTCACTCCTTCTGTCCCATGTTGGGAGGGGAACAGATTGTGTCTCCTTGTTTTTTCCAGTAGTCAGCTCTTTCTGCCTCCCCTCTGAAGAGCTGTGATGATTGACTGAGAGCTTGAGCACTCAGCAGCATGTGTTACCCTGTCTGTGCCTGGAGTGCCTGAACCTGGTGTTTGTTCTGTCCCCACATCTCTTGATTTGATCATTGATCCAGGCTGAAAGGAAGCACATCTACCTGGACAAAGGGGCTTCATTCTGATAAAAGATTGGTATCTCTTCCAAATCTTTGGTATCGCTGTGTCCCAGGGGGCAGCTGCTACTTTAGGGGATGATCATGATCCTGTTCTTCAGTGAATATCTGCTGGGAGAGCCTGGCTTTTCTACAAGTTATTAACACTTTAGTTTGGAAGGGCTTTGTCAACACTCCAGAGAATCACAGCCCTGTAAGGAATGGGTTTCTCCCTTTGGTTTTTTCTTTGTTTTTTTTAGCAAGAGATCACACTTGAAATTCAGACGCTACAGCTGGAGAGGCAAAAACTGAGCTGCTTGCTCTGCTAATCTTGAATAAAGGAATAAATTCTTTTATCTATTTTTATTTATGTATTTATTAAAAAGGAAAAGAAAAAGCAAGAAATGGGGCTCTGCAGAGCATGGATTTATGGGAGAACTTTTCTTTCTTCCATATCTTTGTCCTGAGTTTTGGCTGCTGTCTCTGTGGTTTGCTGTTTGTGTATTTCTGCAGACAAATAACAAAATCAGAAAACTGTTTCATCCTATTCCACTTGTAGCCTGTGTGTTACAATAATTGCTCGGGTGCCAGACACAAAAAGAATCACTGTGGTTTTAGTTTGTCGTTGTTTCATGTATGAAAATGGCTTTCAGTTGTAATTATCTGCACATTATAAGAAGTGTGTATGTGAAGGAGCTATGGAAAAATGACAGCAGAATAATTAAATTCACACCAGCTCCTCATGCGAATACTAAGACATCAAGAGTGTCTTCTGTGGTTTAGTATTACCCACTTCCAAAGCTTGGAGTAGGAAATTTTCATTCATTTTCCTGCACAAATAGGTCTCTGCTCTTTGAAAGGCTGGGCAAGAAATGCCTTTATCTCTGGCAAAGGGAGATCTGTAAGTATGGACTCATCAACATTTTATACCTTGCACTACCTGAAAGCTTTGCCTTCTGCTGTGCTTCTGAATAGCATCACCCATGAATGCCCAGGACTATTGGGAGGCACTGAAAGGGTTACCAGGGGCTGTACAAGGCTGGTATATGGGACAGGAGTGAGCTTGGCTTCCTTGTTTCAAGGGTTTGTGGTTGCTGGATATTTCTGCTGCCTTTTCTCTGCCCCCAGCTCCCCCGTTCTGTAATTCACTTTTAAAAGAAACCAGTCTGGGTTGTGCTGAGCTCAGCACTGCAGCCATTTGCAGAGACACCACAAGGAGCAGCAGCACTTCTCAGTTTACAGGCTGGACTGTGGTAGGAAATGCTCATTCCTTACACTGACAAATTGCTTCTGCACCCAAGGTATTGCCCACTGAGCAAACAAGGGTTGTCTCACTGCTTCCTCTCCATCCCTGTGTCTGTGTGGGAGAAGCTATCCAGCCAGTCACCTTTTGAGGAAGGGACCATGTTCAGTGTTTTTTCATACAGCATTTGGTGCAGTGCTGTGATGAGTGTCAGCATTTGCTTGTGTCAGTTATTGGGCATTTCACCAGTAAGAGGATTGTTTATGCCAGTTTTACTGAATTCTAGTTCCAGCTGTGAGCTTCAATTTGCATCTTTTCATACAATTTGAACTGCTTGTTTTGCTATGTAAATCTTCTGTGTATTGGTTTGCTTTCTTGTTTACTGTTTCTCTGCTCCTAGAAGACATTTGTAATCCTGGGATTTGGCTGTGCATCCTGCTGTTCTGGCACTGAATCCCTCAATTCTGGACAGCACAGGACAGGGAGAGACAGAAAAAGGGAACTTCAGCTTCCCAGACTCATCCCTCCCCTCCCATCCTTCCAGGCCAGGTTGGATGGGGCTTGGAAAAACCTGGTCCAGTGGAAGGTGTGCTTGACCATGGCAGGGGGTTGGAACAAGGTGATCTTTAAGGTCTCTTCCAATCCAAACCATTCTTTGATTCTTCCAACCCTAAAAATCAAGGACGTGTGATCCCTAGACAAGCCTCTCTAATTAGTTCTCATCTTGTAGCACTCATTTCTGTGTGCCTGCCTGAGTGATGTTGCAAATTATATCCCCCTTTTATGTGTTGGTAGCATTTTATCACCTTTCACAGCCTGCGGTGCTCAGTCACCGTTCCTGTAATGCCATCTTGTGGTGGCCCTGCCGCTCTGAACGTGCCTTCTCCAGCCAGAACTGATGCTGGGCTACCTCTGTGTGTAGGCAGTGAGTGCAGCTCCCCTTTGCTGGGTGTGGGGTGAATCAAGGAAATGCCTGTCTCCAGCTGTTTGCTGTCAGGGAATGGCCTTGTGGAGCTCAGATGTGGTGTCAGGGACCTTCATGGCAGATCCCTGCTCTGGGTGCTTTAGCTCTGATACTGTAGAACTGTCTGTTAGAAGGATTGATTAACTATGGTCTGTATTACAAGGAGATTGGTGTGTTGTTCCTTAACAAGTCATAACAACAGACTATCCATTTACTTAAATATTCATCCTTCATACACTGTATGCTGTTTGAAGTGCTTCTCTAAACACAAAGGAGTTGTTTAATACTTTGAAACGCTGCTCTGTTGTGATTGCAGGAAGTGTATATGGCAGGGAGTGTCAGGATTTTGTAGAAATTCCAATTTTATCTCTGGTGGATTTTTTTCTCAATCTGTCTGGGCTTTGGATAAGCCACAGGGGGAAAAGTAAGGCCATTGCATCTGCTTCTCCATGACCAAGAGCTTTACTGTACCTTCGAGAGTAACAACTGCATGCCTTGCTAATAAATGAAATAACAACTGTATTTCTTTTTGGTTTTTTTTGCCTCTCCAGTGTTCCCAACTCTTGCCCAGCCAGTCCACGTGGTGCTGGATCCTCAGGATATCGTTTTGTTCACAACATTACCTCGGATCTGCAGCTGGCAGCAGAGTATGCGGCAAAGGCAGCCTCAGAGCAGCAGGCAGATGCATCTGGCGGGGACAGCCCAAAGGTTCACACAAACATTACCTACCCAGCACTGCTCCTTGGGAGGATTATTAAAGCCTGGGGCTTTATTGCTAGTCCTGGTTAGAGTTTAAAGGGGTTTAAGAACATCCTGGCCATAAGGGTGCTGTGTACAGTGTCCTGCAGGGGGTGGAGGTCATTCCTTCCAACTGTGCTTGGCTTAGTTGGAGTCTCTGCTTGCTTAGCTGCCTGAAATGTATTCAAATCATCACTCACTAAAGTGTTTAAGCAAGAATAATATTTTTGCTTATTTGATAAATCAAGATCCCATAAAGAAGCACATAAAATTCAGCATCTCATTTTCTTCTTTTAATTAATGGTATTTTGCAAAACACAGTTGGAGAAAGCAGAAGCAGGGGAAGAAACCAGATCCTTGTCGTGAGAAGTCTGTAGTCAGACTTTAAAACAAACATGAAGGCCTGTCAAGTAGGCGTTAAACAAGGAGAGTGGCAAGTGGAATCTAGATTAAAAAATAACTTAGTTAGAGTGATAAAATGTAATTTTGGTGAGCTGATCTTCAGATCAAAGTTAAAAGTTCCATATCCAAAACCACCTGATTTGGGATTGGGTGGAGGAGCACACTACTAGATGGCTGTTTTTTGTAGAGTTAATTCTCCCTTGAGACAAGAAGGGTTGTTCTTGATGGAGTAATGTGAAGAGTTGGAAATACGAGATCTAGCAAACAAATTAAAGTTCCTAGAATGAAACAAATCCTGCTGGAGAAGGGAAGGGATGGGATCAGGTTTCATGTTGGGCTTGTTGCTGGGAGGAGGGCTGATAACATACAGCCTCAAACCCTTCTAGCAGAGTGGAGCTGTAGCTGGGCAGAACTGAAGGCTTTAATTTATGAGCACAGAAAGCAGTGAATGTACCTATACTCTATTTATTTATTCCAATTGCCTGTCTTGACCCCTTTCCTTGGGCTGGTGCAAGCATGTGTGGGACAGTCAGTGGGGAATGGAATCAGATTGAAGTTGGGGTTTATGTGTGTTTGTGGGGAGATGGAGGGAGATACTTTCATCTGACTCAGCCCTGTTTGAACACAAATGCTTGTGTGAAATGGGGTGGTGGCAGCATAAAACAGCAGTGGGAGAGCTGATGCTCTCTTAGCTGCCCTGCTGCTCTCTTGGCATTAGTGAAAATTACAGCCCAGTGTCTTTTTAAGTTTGGGTTGTGGTACTGCAGCATAGGAATTCTTTGTTAGTAACTAAATTTTTGTTTGGCTTTTTTTTCTTGCTTAGGATGAATCCAAGCCACCCTATTCCTATGCTCAGCTGATTGTGCAGGCCATATCTTCAGCACAGGACAGGCAATTAACACTAAGTGGGATCTATGCCCACATTACCAAGCATTATCCATATTACAGGACTGCTGACAAAGGCTGGCAGGTGAGTTCTTGACACTGACAAGCTTTTAAACTACTTTGACATGGCTTATCTGCTTTGAAATGCATTTATTAAAGATTTGGGGCACTGGGAATAGAGCTGCTTTGACTGTTCCCAGAGTGAATTTGTTTAACACAAGCTGACTAGTTCATTTGTGGGTGATTAGTTTTCTTGGGGTTTTTTTGAATGCTTTGTAGGGCAATGTAGTGTGTTACTGTTGGGCTCTCTAGTTCCTCTTATAATGCTGTAGTCATGTGTCTTTCATTTTATATTTTGTTTCCCTATATCCTTGCTATCAGTCACTCCTCTGCCCAGATACTTGCTTAATCCTTCACCTCATCTTTGACATGATTTCTCCAAGCAGAGGATATCCAGCCTAAAACTGAGGCTCCAATTTTTAATCATAGCACCTTAAATAATTACAGATATTTTGTTTTCCCAGTGTATCAGCTGCACTGCCTAAGTCAGTTTGCAAGTTCTGAATTTGAGTGGGAGCTTGGGAAACTGGGAGTCCATGGACTCTTTGTGGTACTCAAGGAAGCCTGACCAGCTTCAGAGGAGAGTTTGGATGTAGTTAACACATGCTAAATCAAACTTCAATGTTCACTTGAGGGCTGCTTCCAAAGTTTCAAGAACCTCAACTCCACCTGCTTTCAGACTTTTTCTTGGCATCACACCTCTGCCATGGGTGTTGGCATTTGAATGTAATACACTAATACAGCTGCAAAGGCTCTTGCAGCTGCTGATTTCACTGTGTGCAACTGGCAGGAGCAGTACTGCTTGGTGCACTTTGAGTGCAGTTGGAATAAATACATTTCTGCCTTCCTGGCTTTTCCCTGCAGTTCTAATTAATTGTGGAATTCACTTCCTGCCCTAACCTGCTCAGCAGAGTTGTGCTTTGTGAACCAGTTGCTGCATCCTGCTTCAGAGAGCTGCATTTCAGCAGGGAGTGAAGCTGCCTTTTTCTCTCCTCTCCAGTGGCATTGTAAGGCTTCACCATTGCAGAGGTTGTCTAAACCTGCTAAAAAAGCTTCTCTTTTGTTTTGAAAGTAGAAGAGGGATGAGTTAGTGCACATGGAGGGTTGCTGAGCCCTTCCCCAGCCCAAAAGGCAGCATTACACCCTGTAAGAGGTGGGTTGTTACAATGGAAAGGATAAACAGTCTTGTCATCATCCAGAGAGCTGCAGAGTGCCACAGAGCTCATGGATTCCTCCCAGAGCTGGCTGAGGGCATGTTGGCTGCCTTGCATTGTGATTACTGTGAGATGCAGTGTCCTCTAGGGCATGTTTGGGCACCCTGGTAATCGTTTGGCAGGTGAGCAGTTAGCACAGGCTCAGGCAACTTTTTCCACTTGCCAAGAATAAAGCTTGTCTTTTGAGAGAGTTCTGATGTGGTTTACAGTGATTTCCCCCTGCCTCAGCAAAAGCTCTGCTTTCATGGCTTTCCACAGAGAAGTCACTGCTCTGGCTCCAGATGTATTTCAGTAATGGTTGGTACTGAGCAAACCCATCTTTCAGCTTGGTCAGGAGAAATTCCAACACTTTCCCTCAGGTTTTCTCCTGCTATTCTCCTGTGACTTTGGAGCTGTGTGAGTTGAGTGACTTGTTTCTACCTTTAACACTGATTCTGGCAGCGTGGATTTATTTTTCCAAGCTGTGTGGTGCAACTCATTTGTCTTTGTTACTTCGTGGCAAAATAATCGCCTCATTCCTGTGCTTCCTGCAGAATTCCATTCGGCACAACCTCTCCTTGAACCGTTACTTTATTAAAGTCCCACGCTCCCAAGAGGAGCCTGGAAAGGGCTCCTTTTGGAGGATTGACCCTGCCTCTGAAGCCAAACTTGTAGAACAAGCATTTAGAAAAAGAAGGCAAAGAGGAGTGTCCTGCTTCCGAACACCTTTTGGGCCTCTCTCCTCCAGGTAACTTCAATTTCCTCTCATCTCTCTGCCAAACTCATTACAAAGAAAATAAACTAAAACTTCTCCTGAAGTACAGTGAGTATACTTTGCTTCTGTTTATAGTTTGAGAGGTGATATAGTTAGTCCTGAGGCATAATCTGAAAATTGTTCTGACTTCTTAAGTGTTTTACAAAAAAAAAATCCAGAAGCAAACTACAAAAATGCATCAAATAACGTGTCTGTTTTGGCATCATTTCAAAGAAATTCAAAGCAGTTATCACTGGAGTGAGTGTTTTCAGATGCCAATCTCTGATTTCAGGAAAGCTGTGTTTAGATGTGGATTAGATCATAGTGGGAAGAACTTCTGTGGTATTTAAAACACTCTCCTACAGGGAGATCAGGTTGATGGTGGTTGTCAGCAGTGAAGCAACAGGAGTTCTGTGTGGCTGCTCCAGTCAGCTCCACTGCCTTGTGCAATGACAGCTTCTTTGAGCCCTGTAGCTGTGAGGAGAAGACTTGGAATTCAGCACTAGCTGTAGCAATTTCATGGAACATTCCTCCCACACCTCCTATTTTCTCTGTTAAAATGTGGGGGAAACAGGAGGAGAGTTTTTCAGCTTTTTATTCTGGTTTGTCATTAAAGAAATGTACAATTCCTCACGTGTTTGGGACCAGAGGTGGGAACCAAGTGGTTGGGGAGGGAGGCAACAGGGAGGAGGGGAAGCAACTGCTCTGCAAGCATATGCAGGGCCAGACATTTGCCTCTGCTTGCATCTTTCTTCTTCTCCCTGTCACTCTCAAACTCTGACATAGGTTCTTTGGGAATGACTTGAAGTTATAAAACTGATCTGAGTGTGCAGCATTTGGGCATTCTCTGTCAGCAGTGGGTCTAACAATGAAATGTTAACCCTGCTCTGAAGGGTCCAGTTTCCTTCAGCAAGGAATAACACAACAGTATTTGGAGCTGGAGTGTTTGTGGGGTCCCTGTGTACCTTTCAGCTCTTCCCAGCAGGACTGCAGTGGGTGGTGTGGAGGAAAGGCTTTCCTTCCTAGAGAATCCTCTCCTGGACATAACTCTGGGTCTCTGCTGCTGCCTCGTGGTCAAAATGCATCTGCACTTGCCAACGCTGTGTTTTGGTGTTTCAGGAGTGCTCCTGCCTCCCCTACTCACCCTGGCCTGCTGTCCCCTCACTCTAGTGGCCTACAGACTCCAGAGTGCCTGTCACGGGAGGGCTCACCCATTCCACACGATCACGACTTTGGGTCAAAGTTGGCCTCAGTTCCAGAGTATCGCTATTCCCAGAGCGCACCCGGTGAGTGGCTCCTGTTCCAGAGCTCCTGTTCCTGTTCACTTGCCCCACGTGCCATGCTGAGGACACCACAGGAAGGCTTCTGCAGTGCTTTTTGGAGGATCCAGGACTCTCTTTCCACTTTGTTGTTAGAGACTGATGGTGCAAGTACAACTTCAAACCATTTTCCTGACTCCTCTTTGGATGAGGGGCAGAATGTGCAGAGACAGCTGATCTAACCTTGAGCTAGGTGGCTGTAAAGATCTGACAGCAGAGTAGCCATGGCAACACAGCTCACTTGCTTTCATTTGCTACCCTCTGGATAAGATCAGCTTGGCTACACCAGGCTCTGGTGCTGTGGCCAGGACCTGGTAAATATCTCCTTGTCAGCTGTGCTGACCTGGGGTGAGGTTGGAAGGCAAAGCTCATTAAGGAAAGCTTGGTTTGGGGTATTTTCTTAGGTTTATTATGGCTTTTATTCACAGAAATGTGCTCAGATGACAAGTAGGGTTTTTGTACATGAGGAAGGAGAAGTGTGAGGGTGGTATTTTTAAAGATTTGATTTTTTTTGTTTGATTCTACCTCCATTGCTGCTAATGGTGCAGCACTGAGTAGGCTGGAAGCACACAGATGAAATAAATGGGGGTCTTTTTGCCTCTCCTGTTAACATATGCTTCTCTTTTCTGTTCAGGATCTCCAGTGAGTGCCCAGCCTGTGATTATGGCTGTTCCTCCCCGACCATCCACCCTGGTGGCCAAACCAGTGGCCTACATGCCAGCATCCATAGTGACTTCCCAGCAGCCCTCGTGCCACGCCATCCACGTTGTTCAACAAGCCCCCACTGTCACCATGGTCCGGGTGGTGACCTCCTCTGCAAACTCTGCAAATGGATACATCCTCACAAACCAGGGCACAGCAGGAGGAGCTCACGAAGCTGCAGGAGCAGTGTTGGACTTAGCTGCTGACCACCGAGGTAGTGTTCACCTCCCTTGCTGCTCTGCTAATAAGTCTTGAACGTTTTCACTCACTGGCCACTGAGCCATTAAAAAAGATGTTTCTCCAGGTAAAACAAAAACCAAATGAGAGCTCATCCATTTTTTGTCTCCACCAGAGAGCAGGACAACTGTGTTCCCTTGTCTCCTGGGGAACAAAACTAACAGCCTTTGGAGCCTGCGAAAATATGCAGTGCTTAAAATTTGCTTATTACCATAGAATCACAGAATGATCTGGATTGGAGGGTCCTTTGAAGATCATCTCATTCCAATCCCCCTGCCATGGGCAGGGACACCTTCCACTATCCCAGAGTGCTCCAAACCCCATCCAACCTGGCCTTGGACACTTCAGGGATGGAGCAGACACAGCTGCTCTGGGCAGCCTGTGCCAGGGCCTCATCACCTCCACATGAAAGAATTTCTTCCTAATATCTCATTTATACCTGGTGCTTGAAGCCATTCCCCTTTGTCCTATCTCTCCATGCTTTTATAATTATCCCCAATACCAGTATTTTGCCTGTGTGTTGGCTATGAAAGCATGTGCACTTTCCAGCCAAAAGAGAGAGCCTGGGAAAGGCTGCAACTCTGCTTCAGGATGGTTTTGTAAATAAATGATTGAGCCCTTCTTTTCTGCAGGCCTGGATTCCTAGAGGAAAGCATGTGCTTCTGGAAGTGCAGGCAGTGCCCCATTAAAGCAATCTTCAAAAACCAGTTAGAACAAAGGCCTTTTTTTTGTCCCTAAGCTGGAAATTCCAGCCTTGGGGGATTTAGTGAGTTAAATATTCTCTTGCTGTGATCTAGACAACACCTTGTCTGCTCCCCATTTCAGAAGGTCTTAGTGCTACAAGGTCAGTGTCTGTTGTAGCAGCAGCAAGGCTGGTTTCTCTGACTGCTTTTATGTGAGCAGTGGGACAATGGTCCCTCTCTCTAAGGGAAGGAAAAAATGACAAAGAGCTTCCCCTCTTGCAGCAGCAGGACCCCTGGCATTTTTAGTTCAGCATTGGTTATCTTGCTTGAGTTTCACTTGCATTCTCTAGAAATTCCTGTCTGGATCCCATACATGTTCCTGAAGCACTAACAGTTGCAGCTGCCTGTCACCTGCTCCCTTCTTTCATTCACTGGTTCTTGCTGTTGCCTGTTCTTTCCCTGCTTGTCTCACTTGTATCCTTTTCCAGTCTCTACTTTCCCTGTTTGCTGCATTTTCCTTTCTGAACTCCTTGCTTTCCTTGCCTTTTCTCTCCCCACTCCCATCAGCTTGCCTGCAGGTTTTACCTCAGTGCTGATGTCCCATCTAACTCCACGCTTGTTGTGTGCAAACGTTAAAATGGGAGAGGCCTGCTTTTCCCAGAAGAATAATGAGATTATTCTTCCTGCCCTCTGTCCTTTGAGACCCACAGAGCCCCTGGAAGAGTGGTTCCTCTCCTTTCCTGCATGTCTGGCAGGATGCTGTCCTGTATCTGTGGCATACCTGCTGAATTGACCCCTTACTTATCCTGGGAAGTGAGAAAAGTGGTTTAGTGCTCTCAAGCAGTTACCTCTGTCCAGAAACTCTGCTCTCCTTTTTTATTTTTTCTCCATCCTGTTTTTTTCCTGTACTTCCACAGCAAAAGCTGGCAATTGTGGGAAGACCTCCTTGTAAATCAGCCTCCATGCAGGCCTGACAGCAAGCTGCTGCAGACTTTTGGCTCCAGGCATTGTTTAAGATCTTAATGCCTTCTCCTGCTGTGTGGTATTGAAAGTCAGGCCAGTTTGTTTGAAATTGCAAAGTAAGCTATGAGATTTGCAGTGCTTGCTGTCCATATCACAGCTGTGATGTGCCAGTAAGGGAGGTGATGCCTTTTTAGGGCAAAAGGTCAAATTGATGTGTTTGATTTTTTTCAATTTTTTCTTATGGCTTATGCTGTAAGAAAAATGTTTTTAATACTGATAGAGTAAATGTACAATAGAGAATATTTTAATGTTTCCAAATACTCATCCCTGACCTTCTGTGGTGCTGAGGTATTGTGATCCTGGGGCGTGTATCCCTGCTAATTAATTCTCATTAATCCCTGAGTTAATGAGAATGAAACCTGCCTCTAAGCCAGGGCAGTGACTGATCCTTGTTTTTTCTGCCCTTCCGCAGGCATGGACGAGAAGCCAACGATCGCGTTTGCCACCATCCCCACGGCCAGCCGTGTCATCCAGACAGTGGCCAGCCAGATGGCCCAGGGTGTCCCTGGGCAGACTGTCACCATCCTGCAGCCGGCAGCCCCTGTGGCCCTGGGGCAGCACCAGCTCCCAGTGCGGGCAGTGACCCAGAACGGCAAACACGCCGTGCCCACCAACAGCATCGCCGGCAGCGCCTACGGTGGGTCTGCTCCCCCAGCTCAGCAGCCAGGGGGGAGAGCTGCAAGGGTTTTCTCCTCTTGCTTTCTGTGTGTCAAGTTATTCCATGTGTCCAGTTCTATTGCAGTGGGAGGTTCCCTTCTGTCCACCTCTGCTGCCTTTCCTGGGGGAAAAGCCCCGCTCTCTCTGGCAGAAAAGCTCTGTCCTTCCTTTGCCCTTGGCTATGCAGTTATTAGTACTGAGACTCTCTACCTCTTGAGGTTACTTGTTGAAAGTGTTAGTGATTCTTGTGGGGAGCCTGTTTTCATTTATTTTCTTCTGATCAACAGCCTTGGCTTGCAGCGTGCCAAATAATAAAATTTCCGTGGTGCTCTTTAGATCTTGTGAAACATGACTCAGTAGAGTAAAAAGAAAATAACATACTTTCCCATCTTACAGTCTTAGAGCCTGAGAGAAACAAGATCTATTTCACCAGGTGAATGAATGTAGGATTTTTGTATACACAGGATGTGTTCTAGTCATTTGTCAAGCGTGGTTTTTTGAAATTCCATACAAGCCATGTCTTGGCAGCCTCCTCTTGCTTGCTCAGATTTTATTCAGTTGGGGATGGGAATATCCAGGTTTCTTATGGCTTTTTTCTCTGAGAGGCCAAGCACTTCTGCTGCCTCAGGCTGGTGCTTTTGGGAGTTTGAAATGAAGGGCATGGATGCCTTTCATGAAGGTAGGAATGTTTCTACAGAATTTTCTGCCACATGTCCTCACAGTTATCACCTGGCATGCACTTCAATTGCAAGAATCTCATTGGAACTATGAAAAATGATAGTGACAAGGTTTTTGTGCAATTATTAGAAGATATTAATAGATCAGATAGGTTAAGCTTCTACTAACCAGCAGTAGCATTTGTCTAATATAGAACCAGAGAGTTTTTTTATTTAACATTTTTATGTTAAAATATTTTAACCTCACCAAACTTTTTAACTCTCTCCAAAGTGGGAAGTATTCCAGTTGCATTTGAGTTTTTTGTAAGTGGCAGTAAATTTTCTGGTTCACAAAACAAAGCCTGAGTCTCTTGACTCTCATCTGTACTAAGTTAACTTCTCTTCAATTGCATGATTTAGGTTCTCTAAGTCACTAAGCTGTAATTGCTGACTGCCCTCATCTATACCCTATTTTTTTCCTTTCATCTTCTTGATACTCTACAGCTTTCTTCTCATGCCTTGGTAGAAGTTATTGGGCTTTGAGGGCCTTTGTTCTGTTGGCTTTGTTTATTTATCCTAGGGATTCTTTTTCATGAATTTAGCAGTGAACACAGCACTGATGTTCAGTCATTCCATCCTTTGCAAATGAGTCTGGAGGGCAGAGGATGTGCTGTTTCCTGAGTCCCCTTTGGCTTCCTCTCTGATTGATGCAGAGTCCAAAAACTGCATGTGTTTTGTTTTCCAAGCAGTGGTGTGTGCCAAAGTCAGTGTGTAAGCACATTCTCTGTCTGGAACTAGGAATTGTAGACATTTTTACAGAGGATTGCTACTTAAATCATCTTTTTTCTAACCACTTTCATTAATGGGAGGGTGAGACCTTGTGTCAGTAATGCAATACAAGATTGGAAGCCAGAAATTCCTTTATTTTGATCCCAGTTCTGATGGGAACACATGTGGTTGTCTAGGGTAAGCTTCTTCCTGCCCCTTTTACAAGTGGGATGTCAGTACACTCAATATTGGGATTCTATTTCCCAACAGCCTGGTTTGTTCTTCCTGCATGAGCAGGGCTCAAGGGAGCCTCTAAACCTCCAAATACAAAGCCCAGCACATGGATGTTGGAGTTCATGAGAAATTCTCTGGCCACCTACAATCAGAACCACCTCTCAAAGAGATGTGTTGTGATTTTAGCTAGAGCTTGATCCTCCCCTGCTGGGAACAAATACTTAGCTAGCAATGCCTTGTTTGACAGTGCATGGGAAGAAGGAAGTTTTCCTGTGAAAGGGGCTGTTGCTGGTTTGGTAAACTTGAAAAACTGAGGTTGTGGAGGGAGAGGGAAGGACAAGGCAAGCCAGGCTTTCAAAATGCACTGGGAAGCAACACTTGACCCTGTGCCAGCTGTTGTATTGAACAGTGCGATTTTCTTCTCTTGCTTTGCTTGGAATAGCAAACACTTGTTCTGCTTCACCCCACTAATTGTGCTTCTCTTTCTTATCTTCCTTCCCAGCTCTTACAAATCCACTGCAGCTCCTTGCAGCCCAGGCCAGCTCGTCCACTCCTGTTGTGGTCAGCCGGGTGTGCGAGGCAGGGACCGAAGAGACGGCAGCAGCCTCGTCCAGCGAGCCTGAGGCGAAGAGAGCACGGCTGGAGGAGCCCAGTGCAGCAGTGCCAGCCCAGGCTGCAGTCATCACACCCACAGTGCCACAGGGACAGGCAACCAGTGAATGAAGAAGCGGTGGGAGGAGCTGGAGTGATGGCGGGGTGGGCATGGGATGGCAGGAGCCCTAAAGCAGCTTTCACAGGAAACCAACCACAACTGTAACAGCTCAAAACACAGCTGATAAAGAGCTCTTTTTAAAGGCAGATTTTTTTCAATGGGAGGACAACAGCTCTTATAATCACAAGGTGCCAAAAAGAATGGAAAATCCCTCCCAAGAACCCATATCTGGAACTCTGTTCTGTCTCTACTTTTTTTTTTTTTTTTTTTAAGATTCAAAAAAATACAGACAACTGATTGTATGACTGCTGGGATATTTTTAACTATCTTTTCCCCTTTTGGCTCCAAGGGGATGGGATTTGCAGTTCAGAATCTAAAGGAATGTAATACAAATACAGTCTGCTCCCTGGAAAGAAAACTCCTCACGTTCTATGCCTTAATACCATGCTTCTGAGAGCTTTGAACCATAGGACCATTTTAAAAAGGTCACCTAAGGCAATCAAATGCTGAAAGATGGGTGCAGTATTTCACAACAACATTAAAGAAACATGGTACCAAGCTTAAAAAAAAAAGGCAAATGATTCTGGTTTTTTAAAACAGAAAATTCTGAATATAAATGTTTATTTATATGGGGATTCAGGAGGAAGAGTTACAGGGCTCAGCCACCTGGATTTCCAGATGAAATTTCTTTCCATTCCCTCTGAGGGAGAATAGGATGACAGAGGAACTGTATTAACTTGGTTCCTGTAAAGATGTTAAAAACAAAGGGGTTTGTATCTTTACAAATAATTTCTTACAATTATTCATCACTTGCTCTGGACAACAGCCGAAGTATCTTGATGCCTGAGGATCCCATGGGGAAGGGTGTCTCCAGGAGGCTCTGTGTGCATTTGATTGATCACAGCTTGTGTGAAGCACCAGCTTTTGTTCAAATTAGCACTGTAGGTGAAGGCATGGCCACTGTCTTTGTGAACTTGAGAAAATATTGGTTGATGTTCTGCACTAAAGCTGTCACCTTCACCTCTTGGTGGTGGTGTGGTTCTTAGCTTGATGGACCCTGGTCAGGAGGTCAGAGCTGGCCCTCTTTCATGGCTAACAGCAAAATTCCTGTGTTACTCTTTGGAGAGGGAAGTTTAGGGCTTGGATGAGAGGCAGCAGAGGTCATACCATGGTTCATTCAAATTCTGTCAGGGTGTAGTAGACCAAGGCAAAAGACTTCTCTTTTATTTTCCATGTGGCAAAACTTATTGGAGGTCTTCCAACAGTTTTAGCATAATTGATTTGGAGGTTTGCTTTCATTTCTTGGCTCCCTCTCCCATCTCTCCTGCCTTGAGGACCATTTGGGTTGGCCAGTAGGAGGAGGCCTTTACTCAAACTGTGTTCCAGGCTCCTCACGCAGTACAAGGATGTCTTTCAAGGAAGGCAGATTTGACTTGTGACACCTTATGACTGGCAAAGAAATCCACCCCTGCCTGTAGGCTCCAGCAAACCCCTTTGGCTTTACACCCTTTGCAGTCCCCTTGGCTAACATGTCTTCTGGCAGCACAGCAGAGATTTTTTAATTTAACAAATGTTACAGCTTTGGTAATGGCAAGAGAGACTTAAGAGGGGTGGGCTGTGCCTCTGGTGGGCTATCCCCCATCTGTACTGATTTGCTGTCCTGTGCAGCCTGACAAGGCAGACAGGCAAAACCCACTGCAGAAACATTGCAAAAAGCCCTCCCCAGTGTGCAGTAAATGATACTGTCAGCATATCCATGGGGATTAGGGGCAAGGCACAGCCCTTCACTGCCTGCTGGAATCTGGGCAGGAAGTCCACAAGGTAACAGCTGGCATCACTTGTTCCCTTCTAGGTTTCCTTTGTCTTTGCCAAATCCTATTCAATAACCAAGTCCCACCACTTGAATAAAATCCAGACATGTTTAATTCTCAAGTCCATTATTTTGTGAGAAATATTGCTGAAAGAAGGAAAGAATTTCTTGCTCTCATGATTTGCGGTTACTTTCTGCGGAGAGAGGCACATAAAATATTCATGACAGATCATTTATCTCAGCTGGGCTTTCAGAATTCAGGTGTGTGCCCTTAGTGACAAGTTATTAGATGGGATTTTAGTACTTTGAAATGGTTTTGTGAAGGAGGATTGTTAGAGACCACAAAGTAATTGAAGCAGGCTGGCCTCCAGCTGTCCCTTCTCCCGCTAGGAAGGCGAGGTGTGGCGCAGCGGAAAAGCACAGAGATTAGCTCTGTTTTCTGTAGCCTTTTCAAAGCCAGGAGTCAATAAAATGAACTTCTAGGCAGAAGGCACAAGTGAGAGTGCAGCACAGTCTCTGTGATGAATCATTACTTTCGGGTGACTGCTGGTTTAGGTACAGGCACGCCTCTGAAACAGCCCCGAGGCTCGGGAGCACTCCGGAAGCACAGGACTCCTTGGGTTTCCAGAATGTTGGGTGAGTCAGAGCAAGATGAAAAACCAACAGAAAACTGTTCAGAATGTGGAGCTGCCAAGATTCTGTGGATTTTTCTTTGCTGATGCTTTTCTCTTGAAGAGTCTAAGTAATTAAAACCTGAACTTCTGTAAACTAATCCAGCACCATAGAAAGACATCAGCTGAGTGACAATGTTTTCATCCACCATAAAGCTGCTGCTTTGTAGATACCTCTTGAAAGTCCATCCTCAGGTTGCGTGTGTAGATCTGCCTCCTGAGTATTTAGAACAGAATAACACTTTCTGTCTCTTCTTTTTGTGGCTCACAATGCCTGCTGGTTCAAATGGGAGTTGAGTATAAGCAAACATCTTTGTTCTGTTCACCCTTTCTGCTTGAGATGTCTGGAGCTTGTCAGTTCACCCTGTCAGGGGGTTTTTGCTCTATCAGTCTGTTGCATCCCTCTGCTGCTGTAGGAAGCAGTCCTGCCACTTGCAGATTTTTTTGTAGGTTTGGCTAAACATTGCCTGGTACCAGGTAAAATAACTGTTCCTGCTAAATCGTGTTGAGAGCTGTGGAAAAGTGTGGTCCTCATCCAGAACATGTGAGATGAAGACATCTTCTTTCAGGCCTCCAGATGAATTCTTTCAGCACCGATCAGTCTGGATGACAGCACCATTCTCTCTACATACCAGTCCTGATTCTCCAGGCTGCAGAGGTGTGGTGGTAGAATTAAGTCTTCAACTAGAAAGAAAATGTTTACCTTAATGGTTATATGCAGTGCTCAGATTATTTTAAATTTATAATCTGACTTGTTTTTATTGTCTAAAAAGTTGCATCTCCTCTTTGATTACATTAACTAAAGGTTTAAGGGGAAGTGAAGGTGGAGGTTTCACTGGATTTTCTGCTCTCTGTGTAATGAAGGTCAAGGCATATTGAATATTTAAACTGCAATAACTTGGACCTGGGAAAACTGTAAAAGCAAGTTCTTCATGTGTGAATTCACTTTCCACCATTCCCTATTGATTTTTTTTTCACCTTAGGCAATGACATTGACTAATTTTACTTTGATCACAGTTAGTTTATAGCAACTTTCTTTGCCCCAGTTTGCAAGAGTTGAATGCAGTCGTTCTTTGTTCTGTTCCACTGGAATTCCATGTTGTTTGTCTTGACCTTGGCTCTTATGATACAGAAAGCTTTATAGAGAAAGATCAATTTAATCTGATTTAGTGATAACACAGCACAGTGCTGAGCACAAAATTGAAGTTCATGATTAGCTCATATATTCTTTTCAACTCTTTTTCCTTCCCATATTCCTCCCTCCCCCATACCATTAACACTGTCCCCTGTAGCATATCCAGTCATTTTTATCCACTGACAGGAGCAGCACCTTGCATTAAGCTCTGCCTGAGGACTCAAGAATGAAAATACCTGTGGAATACATGGAGCTCCAGAACAGGTTGAGAAAGGTCATTTTGGTCGCCCTGAATGAATTTTCATGCTGTGTTCTAGACATGTTACTGTTGGGCAGAGCTTATTCAGGAGAGTGTTTTCAGAGACATGTTAAAGCTTTGTAAGGAAAGAAATAACAGCTCAAGCTCTTACAGTGCTTCTGCCATCAATGTCATGGTCTAGCATCAAATTTTGGGGGGAGTAAACTTGATTTTGCATGTTTTGTCTTTTGTACTGACTTAGAGCTGTCATTCAGAGTTAATTTCCACTTTTTTTTTCCTTTTTCAATAGTGAAATGCCCACAATGGAATAAAACTTGGAGCACAGAAGGCTAGGGACCTGTATCTAAGCAAGTGAGAGCATCTGACCTGAACTCTTTGCAGTGTGGTGTGGAACACTTCTCCCCGCCTGCTGGGGATGTTCTGTTGGTGTTGGAACTTTTCATCTGTGTCAGCAAGGGGGTATTTGTTTGGTATCACTGGTGTGTGCTAGTGTGCAAGTGAATGTCAAAATGTAGGGTGAAGGAGAAGTGTTTCCCTGGATTTGAGGATCTTGCATTTCACCTAGTGGTAGTTCTGTACCTCTCCTTAGAGAATCCACTCTCACCACACAAGGTGAAAACTTCTCAGCAACATAAGAAGAATTTCCCATGCAGCTGCATTTGTTCCTGACCTCTGAGGAGAACCCAGCTCTGCCTCTTCTGTGTGTTGCAAATAGGAACTTGAAGATTCCAGTAAGATTTTTTCCAATTTGTTCCTTCTCTTAAGGCTGAACCAGCCTGGTTGTCTTGGTCTCTTTTTATCCATCAGGTGGAATTGTGCTGGGGAGCCCAAAAGCAGAGACAGTGCTGCAGACATGATCTGGGGAATGCTGGATGGTTGGAAGAGGAATCCCTTCCCTTGGCCTGGTAGCTGCACTTCTGCCAGTACAGCCCAGTACCTGTTTGGTCTCTTGCTGCAAGGCAGATGTAAAGTGTAAGGAACAAATCACAGGGTGGACTGGATTGCATTTGTGCAGAGGCCACCATGTTGTCTCTCTCTTCCAAGGAACAGTCCTAGCTTGGGTCTTTTTGAGCAGGAAGCAGCACTGAAGGACCCTGATCACTTTTAAAGATACCTGTGCTTAATCTTATCAAGTGATAGTTTCAATCCAATGTGGAAATTGCCTTGAGTTTCTACCTGCTGCAAAATCTTTGAGGTTTGTTTTAAGTCCTGCTGCTAATAAGTTGGACTAGGGCATTAAGAATGAACCTCTAAAGGAACAGGGTTTCATAATTTTGCCCTTGCTGCACACTGAGTTTTTGAGTTTGCAGATGCCACCCTGCAGTAAATGATCTGTCTTCTCTTGCCAGCCAGTCTCTTGGGCAGCTCCTGTTTCTGCTCTTCATCAGTTTTTCCCCTCTATTTGTAGTTACATCTGTCAACTCCAGAGTTCTTTAATCCACCTCCTAATTTAATTCCATTGCTTGAAGGTCTGCATCTGGCTAGGATTCTTGTGTCAGGTTGCAGTTACACGAGTAAACAATCTGTTGTAGAACTTTTTGTGTCCTTCTGGGTGAAAAATGATGCCCAAGCTGCTGCTACTATAGCATACACACTACTGCTGGAAAGTGTAGCTTCCAAAGGAGCCAGCTGTGCTGCAGAGAACAGGTACACTACAAGGTCATCTGGGCTGCTGGAGCTGATGCCTTCTTGCATGTTGATCTGCACCTGATCAAAACATGGCTGGGGAATCTCTCTCTGGGCTGGGATGTGTTAGATCAGCACCTCTCTCTGCTGGGTGGGTTGTTTGCAGGTCAGTGCACGTGTTTGTGCATGCAGGTGTGGGTGGATTCCCATGCCATGACCAGCAGTGGGAATTCTGTAGCTCTGAGAGTGGGCTTTCTCTGTTAGGGTGTCTTTCACAGGGCAGCAATACACCAGGGAGCATTTTACTTTGGCCTGAGCAAGACATTTTGAAAAATACTTGGTTTTCTTGGAGCACTATATTTAAATTCCAAATTTTGAATCAATTTGTGACGTTTGTATTTATATGTTTGGAAAATTCTTTTGATACCTTTTCAATTTACCAACACTGAATTAAAACCTTTCAGAATGTATGGTTGGTCCTCTCCTTATGTGTCACTTTAAGTTTCAGAGCACAGGGTAGTTGTGCCAAATCTACTCCTTTGCTCTCAAGACAGAAAAAAAATTTGACAATTCATGGGTGGCAGCTAAGGAAGAAACCCTTTAAATATTTTTTTTTCAGAGAATATTAAATTAGATCTGTGTAAACATAAAATTTATATTTATTAATGTGTGAGTGTGTGAGCGTGTGTGTCAATATAGATATATAAATGGTCCATGACTATTTCCTTCTCTTGAATGGTACTTACACAGACTTTTATACAGAGTGTTGGTAATTCCTGCACCAGGCACTGACTCTGAAAGAATGATAAACCTATTTTTGTAATGAATGTGAGCAACCAGTGGAAGCAGCTTTACTTCAGTGATTGCTTTCATTCCTCTCACAGAGCAGAAGAGGCAGCTTGGTACTTGCATCTTCCTTGTGTAGCATCTCCCTGCTTCTGCCTTTGTCCTGCTTGCAGCAACCCCAGCCCACGCTGCTTTTCTGGCAAGGAAACCCCCCCCAAATGGCACTAATGAAAGCTGGAATCCTTTCTTGTCTGCAGTTCTCTCTAGGTGCAGTATCAGGGAGCTCTTTACAGATTCTGCTCTGTCAGTAATGGGACCTGATTTCTAACAGAGGAGATTGATGGGGGGTCCACGAGGATGGTGCAAGGCTGAGGAATTCCTCTCTGTCAGGTGGCTAAGCTAACACTGGGGCACTAGGAAATTGTTTCTTTTCCTCTGTGGTGAGATTATTTTCCTCTTGTCATGCTTCTGTCTCTTTTTGGGGTGAGGTGTGTCTGTATCCCCTTAAAAACAAGCACAGAAGAGTTTTTCTAATGTTTCCATTCACAGGGAGTAAATTTTACTGAACTGGCCAGAGTTCAGATGTGATTTAATTCCACAGGGATCACTAAATTCACAGAAGGGTGTATTTTGAACCACTTGGATCTTTTGAGAACAAAAGCAAGTGATATTTGACTTCCTAATCCTAATTGCTCTTCCAGAAGCAGAAATTCTCTGTGAGGATCTGAGTGAAAGCTTCACCTCAGCAATCCCTGCCTGGTGATGGGGCTTCAGTTCTTCAGGGAGAGGACAGGGTTGGTGATAGGAAGAGTGACCAGAATAGGAGCAGTGAAAGGAAGCAGCTTTCCTCCTCATCCAGCAGAAAACAGCCCCTGTGAAACCCAGACTTCCCCTAATATTTGGTTGTGTCTGCTGCCAGGTTATGCTGTGATCTGGACCTCTCTGTCCTGCTCCTACCCCACCTCACTTTCACCTAAAGCAGTCTGAGACAGAGCCTTCCTTAAAGCTAAGGGCAACGGTGAGGAGAAATGTCTGGTAGCTGATGAAAAATGAGATTTAAATGGAGCAGAAAAAGTGAGAATTCCTTCTGTTTCACTGTCTTGCTGCTAAAAGTCTGGTGCAGAACATCCTGATGTTCTGCTGATTTATATGCTGCTCTTGGGAGGTGGGCAGGCTGCTAAGTTGGCTCTGTAGCAATTGAATTACTGTAAACCTAAACTTGCTTAATCTCTCTTTTTTTTTTTCTCCCTCAAATGGGCTTGAAGTAGAGGGAACCAGAGTATTATTTGTAAGATCTTTTTGCTTTAATAGAAAACAGAATGTAAAAAAAAAAAAAAAAAAAGAAAAAAAAAAAACCAAAAGCAAAACCAAACACATTCAAATATAGTGATACAGAAAATGGCTTTAAAATATGAAAATCTTACAAGACCATATGTTGTGTTGGGTTCTGGACATGCTGTTTGTGCTGAGGAGGCTGGCCTTGCCCAGCCTGCCAGCCAACCTCCACGTAGCCAAAAAGAGCATTTTAAGAGTCTGTAGCTATCCAAAGGACTGTTATCCAAAGGACTGTTCAAAGCTGTTTAGGGATAAATCAAAAGCTGTGTGTGAGCAACGGATGGTAAAGCTGGAAATTCACATCCAACCCTGAATAATTGCTCTAATAAAAAACAAAATCCAACTCTCCCCCCTGTTCTGCAGATGCTCATTCCCACCGAGTCCCTGGGGAAGGCTGAAAGGAGAACCTGAAATACCTCAGTGGCTTCACAGAAGGGTTTGCTACAGAGATCTGGGCCAGCCTTACCCCTTTCACCTCGGTTTGGCACTTATTTTATAAAATAAGAAGGTGATGGAAAGGGGAAACTAAAGCCATGCTTGCATTTCAGTTCCTGGTGTTGCCTGTGCAAGACACCTCCAGCCAGATGTTTTGGGCTTTGTGGGGTTGTTTTGGGTTTTTTTTACAGCTGATATCAAAAGTTGTTTTGGGGTTTTTTTGTGACTTGTTTTCGTTATCAGTGCTTTTTCAAAAGCAGGTGTGTATCCCAAGGGGGGAGCTCCATGGGGGCAGTGGATGTGAAGTTCATGTTCTTTCTCTGGCCATGCTGCTGCTCCTGTGAGATGCTCAAGGCAGCCCTGGCTCCCAGCAGGGTGTGGGATCCTGCATCCCAGGAGCAGGACCTGTGTTTCCACTTCAGATGGGATACAGTGGTTTTGTTTGTTTGTTTTTTTAATATAGAGCCATACATTTTTTAAGTAATTTGAGATCTGAATGTGATTTCTAATGTATCGAGAACGTTAATATTTTAAAGCTATAACAAAGGTTTAAATTTCTACTTTTTTTTTTTTTTCATTTATTTTAACTGTTCTGTTACCTTAATTTGATGTATGTGGTTGGGGAATGTTGCTTCTCCTCTTAGCATTTGTTTCTATAACCAGAAATAAAATTATATATGAAAGAGAAAATGCCCTGAAATTGCTTTGCTGTTTTTGGGTGCCAGATTTGGCTCCTTGCAGTGTAACATCACAGGGGGGTTGAGTTTCCTGCAGCAGTGAGGGGACTGTGTTTAATATTTTTTCCTTTTTTTTTTTTCCTGTAGGAAGGAAGTGTGTATCTGCACACCTTGCAGTGTTTGGAGTTCAGACACCCCACTTTTGATCCCTTGTCAGTTATTTGGGCAGCTGTTGGCTCACAGCAGAGTGAACATATGGACTTGTGTGTTTGAGATCTGTGATGCTTCCCCTGGGGCTCATAAAGGATTCCTCCAGCTCCAGCTTTTGTTTTGTCATGAAGTGAAACATTGTTATTTTGAAAGTTAAACTATTCCAGTGTGTTCCCCTGTAATTTATAATAATTGTTTTCATTTAAGCCTGTGAGATCAGAAAACAATACTTTATCTGTCTTGTAGTTAAGACTTTTCCTCCTTTTTCTTCCTAATGCAGCTACAGTTTAAGTTCTGGGTTTATTTTGACTAAACATTCTTAGCTCCAAAATTAAATAGTAATGTATTTTAAGGCCTCAATTGACATAGAGTAGCTGTAATTCATAGAATTTTAGAACCATTGAATGGTTTGGGTTGGAAAGAACATTAAAAATCAGCTCGTTCCAATCCTTGCCATGAGCAGGGACATCTTCCACTATCCCAGGTTGCTCCAAGCTCTGTCCAGCCTGTCTTGGACACTTCCAGGGATCCAGGGGCAGCCACAGCTTCCCTGGGAATCTGTGCCAGGGCCTCAGCGCTCTCACAGGGAAGAATTTCTCCCCAATATCCCATCAAACCCTGCCCTCTCAGTCTGAAGCCGTTCCCCTTTGTCTTGTCACTCCATGCCCTTGTAAAAAGTTTCTCTCTTTCTTGTAGTCTCCCTTCAGTTACTACAGGATGGGTTTTTTATAATTGACTAATTAAAAAATTAATAACACAGTACACAGTGAGCAAATGTATTGATCCAGAGCCCTTTCTGGGTGGTGTATTTTAACATTATCCTGTCTTTGGCTCCCTGCGTGCTGCTGCTCTGCTGGCTGATTGCCCAGGCATGGTGCTAATGAACTTTAATGCCAGAAGAGCACAGGGCAGGGAATTACCAAAGGCAAAGTGCCAAATCCCATCCCCTGGCATCTCCTCCGCTCCAGCTGTGTTAGCAGTCGGGAGAGAAGGTCCTGGTGGATTTCTGACTTCTGGGAGTGCTGAAGACTGAGCAGCTGGTTTAACATCTCGTACCCGTTTTGGAAATCTCTGTTTTATGAACAGGTTGCAGGAAAGGCTGATACATTTATTGTCTTTTACCATCACTGCTGCAGAAGCCCCAACTCCCATCTCTGCCATGTAATGATGTTCTCCATAGGTCTGAATGCCTAGAGTGGGGTGGCCTCAGAGCCCAGCTTGTGCTCAGGCTCCTGAGGTGGGGGATAATAACAGAGCCCCTCGGACAGTCCCCTTGCAGATAATAACAGAGCCCCTCGGACAGTCCCTTTGCAGCCACCAGCGCGGATTTTGGTCACCCCCTCCGCGCCTCTGCGAGCCCTTCCCGCCGGGCGGAACCTTCGTGCAGCAGCCGCCGTGTGCCCCCGGAGCCAGCGCCGCGTACCGCCCGCCCATGGGGGGCGGCTTTGGCCGCGTACCGCGGCGCGGCGGGCCCAGGCGGCGGCGGGGCCGGGATGTTCACGGCGGCTGCCGAGAGCTTCCTCCGGCAGGCCAGGTGCGACAGGGGGACAGGGACAGCGGCACGGACCCCTCGGGCCGGGCGGGGGTGCTGGCGGGAGCGGGGGGCCGGGCGGAGGGGCGGGCGGTGAGTACCGACCCTGCAGCCCGGAGCTTCCCGAGGGGGCCCGGGCTCTGACAAGCCCCGACCGGCCCGGCAGGGAGATCCAGGAGGAGGAGCTGCGGAGATTCACCGCCCGCGTGTCCGCCCTGCTGCAGGGCCCCGAGGCCGGCCCCGAGGCCGTGGATGGGCTGCAGAGGCTGCACCTCACCGTGGCCGCCACCAAGTACCCCCGCAAGTGAGTGAGTGCCTTGTGCCCCCCGGGTGTTCGAGATGCGTTACCTTCTGACCAAAAAGAAGGGGCTCTAAAATAACACGCTGCCTTGAAAACCTTAAGTTCACTTTGAACACAAAGCCCCTCTTTGCTTTACACCCCCTTGCTAAGCAGAAGTGCCCATCTCCTTTTGCAGCAAGGTTAACAAGTGTTGGT